GCAAAAACCACCCGAGCAGCTCATTTTTAGGCTCAAAAATGCCAGTTAACCCCCCCAACTGCCCGGCGCTGAAGCGACAGGGACTCGCCTTGTTGGTTTTTTTTTTTCCCCTCCCCTTTCAGAATAAATCTGTATTTAATGGGCGCGGGAAGCGCGAACGAAACCCTGCTCAGCGAGATCGTTTCCTCGCCGAGCAAATAAATTCCAGCTCTCGGAAGGAGAAGGAGGAGAAGCAGCACTTTGCCTAATTAAGGACAATGTGGTGGGGCCGCGGTCCGGCCCCGGCGTTAATGGGCAGCAGCTCAATTATCTGCCCATCAGGTCACATCCTTAAATTCCTTTTTATCTTGGTATCGCACATTATTCAGCGTAATGAGCTTAATATCGGGAGGAATTACAGGCAGTACATTTACCCTAATGAAGCAAAATTACCCTGAAATCGCATTTTCTTTCGTTTCCACCTCGAAAAACTTTCAGATCAGGTCGAAAATTGAAGTGATAAATGCAGTTAATACGGGCAGAAGTGTATTAAAACAGGTCTGTTTTCCCCCCAAAACCGACCATTTCTGCAGGTCAGGCTGAAGGAGAGGATGGAAACACGTCCCCAGGCCCCTCTGGATTCTGCTCAGCCTTGAAACACTTCTCTTTTATTTCTCTTTTTTTTTTTGCTCCCAAATAAGTCAAATCCTCTTCCACTTTCTTATATGGAAATCCAGGCCTGGCAAATTTTTTTCCTAAAAATCTCTTTGTATTTATTTTTAAATATATTTATCTATATTATATATATGTTGTGTATTGTGTAATATATATCATAATAGCTATTATTATATACTTTATAGTCTTCATATATCATCAAATATATCATTCAAATATTATTCATACATTATTCAGATGTTTATATAAACAAATGTCAGATAATTCAAATATATTCATATTCTATATATTAATATATAGTTATTAATAATTAATTATTAGCATGTAGAATTATTCTATTCTACAATAGATTATAATATATTTACATTTAAATTTATTATATTTCAATATAATTTACAACTGAATTAAAAATGTATATAAATATACTGTATAATTTAAATATGTATATAATATATATATGTATATATGTACATAAAATATTTGTATTATATACCGATAGTAATTATATATATACATAGAATATTTGTATTATATACAGATATTAATTATATATATAAAATATTTGTATTATTTATAGATATTAATTATTCTATATATTTATTTATATCTATTTATGTTTTATATATGCTTATATATATAATGGTTGCATGTAATATGTTTGTTTTATATGTTTATTTATGTTAATTTTAATATATCTGTTTGGTTTAATACACATTTCTTGCCCTTGGCAGGCCAGGACATCACCTGGAAGTGTCCAGCACAGGAGGATTTTCATCCCAGAGTTCAAAGAGCAGGACAGCCCAGCGTTAGCAGTGGGAATGCTGCCATCAGTTAAGGGAGGATCAGAGAACAGGGCAGTAAAAATGAGCTTTGGGGGTTGTTCTCCAGGGGGGAAGAGCCTGTGGATCAGGGCTGGGTCACGGGATTGGGCCCCTGTGTCACTGTCCTGTCACAGCACAGCAGGTTCCAGGCAGAGTTTCGGTGTCTATTTGGGATTTCCTGGGTGCAGGAGAAGAACTGACCCTGAATTAAAGCCCCTTCTCCTGATCCCTGTGATCCACCCCAGCCCTGCCCCGCTCTCCTTTCACCACTGTTACATTTCACCTCAGGGAGAAAAAAAAAAACCACCAAGAATTTGGGCAAACTCCCCTTCCAGCAGGAGTTTAAATGACTGGCTGACTCCCAGGAGCTGCAGGAACTCTCCATCTCCATGGTTTTTCCCCTCAGGAAATCCCATTCTCCCCCAGCTCACCCCCTGCTCCAGAAACATCCAAACCCTGAGCTCAGCTCATTTAACAGCCACAAGACTTTCTGGTTTTTTTGGTTATTGCTCTTGCCAAAGGACAAGAACGAGCTCGTGCTCCCGAGCAGAGTCATGGATCCGATGCATCCCAGGGGTGGGAATTCTGGGAACAGCAGCAGAGCCCAAGGAACAACTCGAGACAAACCCTTGGCACCGACAGACAAACAGAAGCCCCTGACAACTTTTTGGGGGGTTCTGGAAGACAAGCAAAACTCGAGGCAAAGCTGCTTTTTAAGCTCTGCTGTGACAGGACAGTGACACAGATCCAGGGGCCCAATCCCGTGACCCAGCCCTCATCCACAGGCTCTTCCCCCCTGGAGAACAACCCCCAAAGCTCATTTTTACTGCCCTGTTCTCTGATCCTCCTTAAACTGATGGCAGCATTCCCACTGCTAACGCTGGGCTGTCCTGCTCTTTGAACTCTGGGATGAAAATCCTCGTGGTCTTTGAACTCTGGGATGAAAATCCTCCTGTGCTGGACACTTCCAGGTGATGTCCTGGCCTGCCAAGGGCAAGAAATGTGTATTAAACCAAATTCTTGGTGGTTTTTTTTTTCTCCTGGAGGGTCAGGGGTGACTCTAACGTGAACAAGTGCTCAGGTTTTGTGTCTCCACGTGAGAGGAGCCCCATAAAGACCTGCCAGCCAAATTCCAGGAGCAGTTACTGAGCCTGGCTCGGGATGAAGCTCTTCCCTCCCGGACACACACACACACAGACGTGTCTCTCCTCAGCAGTCCAGCACTTTACTCATGTTCCATTATGAACCCAAAGAATGAAACCCTACCCACACCCCCCAGAGGGCTGCTGGGGGGGAGGCAGGAGCTTCCTGAAGGCAGCAGAGGCTGATGATTTCCTGCACACCCGCCACAAAAGCCACAGGAAGCTCCCCGAGGAGACAAACCCGGCCCCCAGAGCGAGACCTGCTCAGATCCTCTCCCATCAAACCACCCAGTCCTCCTTCCAGTAAATCTCCCACCACAAATCATTGCATTAATGGCCCAGGGCAGCACAAGGGTTGTTTGTATCCTCTGTTCTCTCCCCCCTTTCCAAGCAATAAAGCCGAGTCGGGAATCAGCAGCGCCCTGGAGGGTCTTGGCTCAAGGGTCTCACTTTCCCCTCCACAAGTACCTGCAATTTGTTTCAATCAGCAGCAGGACTGAGGCCCCACATCTTAACCTGAGCATCCAGGAGGGATTTCACATCACCTCTCCTTGTGCAAAGGCTGCTCCACCACTCCCACTGCTTTTTTTTCCAAAGGCTGCTGCACCACTCCCACTGCTTTCTTTTCCCCCCCGAGGTGATTTGGTTCTAAAAAAGCTTCATCCCAAATTGTACCCTCAGGCTGAGGAAGGGCTAAGAGGAGCCAAGGCTGAGCTCTATGTCACAGCATCAGCCCCAGGACCCAAAGAGCTGCTCCTTTTTTGAGCAAATCAAAGCCAAACAACCTCTGGGAAGCCAGAAATCCATAAAACAACAGCCCCACCAGCACCTTATCCCACTTCTCCAGCCCCATTCACAGCTCTGACAGCACAGGAAGACAGAGACCACCTACCCCAGGAGGCAAGAACAACTCAGGGCTCCCAACTTTGCCAGCTGCCCCCCCACATTTATCAAGTTTGGTGCTATTTGGGTTTAATTCCTTAAAACCAGACCCGGAGCTGCACTTTATGGAGACACAGATTTGCCCCTTGGGAAGCTGAGTGCCCTCAGGACACTGGGGAAAAAAAGAAAGAAAAACAAAATCCAAAAATCTTCCTTGATGTCTGAATACTTCTGAATCCTGCTTATTTAACTTTTCCCATCCAGAAAAAGGAATTTTTCAGGGGAAATCACAGCAGCAAAGAGGCAAATGAGCCCTTTTCCTGCCCTGTTACAGGACACTGCTGCATCCACACCCCCCAGTCTGCCATCAGACAAAGCTCCAGCCCCCTTTTCCAAAGGTTTCCATCTTCTGCATTCAGCTTGTTTCAATTATTCAGGGCAACCCAGGCTGATAATTACACAGTCCCGAGCTGCTGAGTAAAACTGATGCTTAATTAGCCAGCGGGAAAGATCGATTAAGATCCAGCGGGGTATCTTGCAAAAGTTCTTCAGTGGGACTGCAGGGAATAAAAGTCTGGCTGTGCCCTTCCAAAGGATAAAAATTCTCCTCTTCTCAGGGACTCGACAGCAGTTTTATTTGAACTGGATGCTCGGCTCAGGCAGCCACCCTGAGCTTTATTGTCAGGCCTCAGCACCGAGTGACACAACTCACAGCTCGTAACCAGAGCATCGACAGCGAGCTCTGCATCACATTGCCAGCCAAAAATATAACCCAGCTGAGGCTCAAAGTTTTATTTAAGCCTTGAGCAGCCTGATTTCTGGTTGGGTTTTTGTTGTTTGGTGTTTTTTTTTTTTTTTGTTCCTCAGTTTTCCCCTCAGAACGATAGGAAAAATAAAAATTAGGTTCGTTTCCTTCGTTTCTCCAAATGATGCATCTCGTGTTCTTACTGTTCTTGGAACAGTCCTGAGGACACGAGGCTTTAAAATCCAGGTCTGACCTGGGTTCTAAGTCAATAAATCCCCTTCACTCCTTTTTTTGCTGGATCAAAGTCCAGACAACACGTTTTGGAGCTCAGGAGCCCCCCTGTGAAACGGATAACTTTGAGCAGCAAATCCACAGCACGAACCTCTGCTCACAGTTATTGATTTACCCACAGACTTAAGTGATGTATTTTCTCCACAAAAAACCCTCTCTGCAACAAGGGAGAAGGAGGAACAGGAGAGGATCAGAGACCCCACATGAATGGAGCTGCACACTCACAGCCCAAGGCATCATTTTTTCACTTTGAAACGCACAAATTCCGAACAAAATGAAGACAATTTCCCAGACAACCATAAACTGGTTAACTGGGAGTGTAAAAACCAGTGGTCTTATTACACCAAGCCCTGAATGTCCATGGATTTTCAAAGCATGGGACCAACTCTACCAGCACAAAGTACCCCAAGATGTGCCACCGTTCTGAAGCAACTTTGATCAGAGAGGAATTCAGAGAACACTGACCTGGCTTTGACTCTCTGGAAGGCCAAAAGAATCTCATCCCTCTGCTCCCTGGCTTCAGCACTCAGGTTCTCGTTCTGCAGCCCTTCTGCCAGGTAGTCCTCGGCATCTGGGGAAGAAGGAATTACAGGTTAAAACTCAGAGATCCTTAAAACTCAGAGATCCCTGTTCCTGGTTAAGAAACCCGCAGCCCTCGAGGCACCAGCCCAGTCTGAGCTAAACACAGGTCAGGCTGAGGACTTGATTTGGAGAAGTGAAGCCCTGGAAGTGATTAAAGAGGATCTAAATGTTGCCTGTGATGACAGAGCTTCTCTCTAATTGCAACAGTACGTAAGGCAAATAAACAAGTGAAAAGAAACTTTTCACTTTGGTGAACTTTTCACTTTGGAAACTTTTCACTGCTGGCAAAAGCAGAAGAGAGGATGAGGAAGGTGAAGTGAAAACGTGACCAGACCAAGTTCAACTCCACCTGCCTCTGTGCTGCCCCAAACTCTAAAGATCTGCTGCTGTGAAAGGCTTTTGGCATTAAAGACACAGGAGTGGTTCCCCCGTTCAGGGAGGATCCAAAGCATTCCTAAAACCAGTGCAAGGTATCCACTAACACTCCAAAATCCCCCTGATCTGGGACTTTGCACCCTGAAAACCAGGTGGGTCGTGCACTTGTGTCACAAGGTGGGTTCTCCTGCAGGGTTGTTGCTGGACTCCCACACCCTGTCCCTGCTCAGACAACAGCAAACACAACAGTTCTCCCACCTGGAAAAACCACATCTGTGTGCAGAAATCCACCCTGAACTGCCAGACAAAAAGGATTAAGCGCCTTCTATTTGCATAAATATTTATGTTCCTTTACGGGGGAAACCGAAAGAAAAACCAACAAACTCAAGAAAAACCAACAAACTCGTGGAGAACAAAACAGTTCCACCCCCACCTGCCCTGTGCAGAGCACCAGCCTCGTGCTTCACTCCTCCTTCAGCAGAGGAAAGATTGGCTTCATTCAAAGCTCTGCTGTTGTACATCCACAGGCCCCTCCAACCTTTAACTCCCACCCCACGCTGTGCCACTAATGTCAGTTTAATATCCTGCTTCCAAGGACTTCCAGCTCCTTCTGCTTCAGCTGCCAGCCCGATGCCAGCAGCGTTTAGCACAGCCCAGGCACCTGCAGAGCTCCTCAAAAAACAGTCCCCCACCTGCAGGCACGCCTCAAGATCAAAATGCCACGGGAGAAATTAAAGGTTTTTTCTGTTAAAAACGCGATCCCCTCGTTTCTTTTTGCTGCCTGTTCGTGACACGCTCAAAGGTTCAGAGCAGGGGAGGGGGGGGAGAATAAAAAAAGGGGTCTTTGAAGTGAAGGTCACGAGGAAGGATGTGGAGGGGGAGCAAGGCTGGTGCTTGGGCATCCCCCAGGAACAGGGCCCTCTTCCTTGGCTTCAGAGGGGCAGGGGGACTCAGCTCTGCCCACAGCAGCCTGGGAAGGAGGAGTGACTCCACACTGTAACAGCCCAGTTCTTTTGGGGTTTATTCAGCTGAAAGCACCAGTTGCCATGGGAGCACCTGCTAATTACCAGATTCCTGCCAAATGCAGATTCCTGCAGGTCCTCACCAGCTCCTGCCTCTGTGTCCCTGCCTTTCCTCCTCCCAGGAGGGCTCCTGACCCCTGGGAATGAGGTCTGAGCCCATCAGCCACAGCCACCCCTTCCCAGGGGAGAAACAACCCCAGGAGATCAAAATATCCAAGCCCAGCCCCTCCAGGGTGGGGATGAGACTGTTCCCAAGGGCCTGGGGGGACAGGACAAGGGGCAGTGGCTTCAAACTGACACAGAGTAGGTTTAGATTGGATATTTTAGGAAGAAATTCCTTCCTGGGATGGTGGTGGAACAGGTTGCCCAGAGAAGCTGGGGCTGCCCCATCCCTGGAAGTGTCCAAGGCCAGCTTGGACAGGGCTTGGAGCAACCTGGGATAGTGGAAGCATCCCCATGGCAGGGGGTGGGACTGGACGAGCTTTAAGGTCCCTTCCAACCCAAACCATTCCATGATTCCCTGAGCCACAGCCCCAGCAGATGGACAGCAACCCTCGAGCACAGCATCACTCCCAATCCCACACCTACGTCCAGCAGCAGTCTGGGAGCTCCAGGAGCACAGAGATTCCAGGCAAAAATGCCTGTTCATACAAACTCACTGCTGGTACTTTAACCCTGGGGTAGGACCCAGGCTTTGCCAATCCCAGGCCAATCTTCTAATCCTGAGGCTCAAATTCATTTTCGGCACCTCCCTCTGCACTTTTAATTGCACCCCCAAGGGACTGGACCAGGATCTCCCTCTGCACTTTTAATTGCACACCCAAGGGACTGGACCAGCTTAGGACAGGCCTAAAGATGCTGGGGCTTAAATCACAAATGCCACAGAAAGCACCCAAGCACATCTATCTAAGCCCAAAAAGCAGAACTTGCTCTGAGGAGCCTCCTAAGAACAGATGAGGCCGAGGGGAGAATTTATTCTATACAAGCATAAAAAAACAAGGGAGTGAAAATGGCCCAGCAAGAGAAGCTACAGGTAGAAAAAAATACAGTGAGAGAACAGGCGAGGAAAACAAACTGCTCCCAGAACTGCTGCAAATCCCAGTTACACCCCCCGTGTCATTTTTAAGCTCAGATTAACTCCGTGAGCGCACGATTAGCCCCTAATACAGCGTTTACTTACTGGGATGTCAGCCCAGATCAGCTGCTGGATAAGTTATAGGAGGAGCTGGGTCGCTCCTGCAGAGCAGGCAGAGCCCCCTTTCCCAGCCAGCCCCGATGTTTATAGCAGCAGGAAATGAAAAAGAAAAGCCCTGGCCATAAACTCTCCAAGTGGCTCAGGAAGAGCAATGTGTGAGCAGCTCGAGAGTAAATCACCCTAATGTTGGTTTTACTGCTTGTCAGTAACGTTATAGCCTTGATGTTTATGGATTGGCTCTCCCAGATCCACTCGGAAAGTTTACAGGACTCTCCTCCTCGTTTCCTGAGGCTAAAAAAGGTAAAGAGAGAGAGAGAGGAGGGAGGAAAAAAAAAAAAAACCAGTGGAGATTTCATCAAGTGTTTCAGGGGAGCTTCTAGAGGTGATTGCAGTTCTCCACTTTAATCCTGCAGGAGATGCCCAGCATCCTAAGAATTATGTCACAACCACTGAAGTCCAGGTAGCAAATAACCTTTTAATGGCAGCACTAAATTCTGGGAGTTAATCAGCACTCAATGAGCAGAGCTGAGGGGGATTAGGGTGCCCTGGGTATTCTCTCCACGCACACACAAACCTTCACAGTTGGTTTTTTCACTCTTTTCTACTCCTCTGCCATCAGAAATCCCACACCCCTGGTGCAGTGGAACCAATCCCACAGGATCAGAGAATTCTGAGCCAACCAGCCTGTTCCAACACTTCACACAATCCCCCTCCTGCAGTTTATCACCCCAGCTGGCTGGGAAAATGAGTTTAAAAAACTTTAGGACGCCCATCAACACTGAGAGCAGATACCCTGAGCTTCCCTGGGACTGCATTCATATTTCCAGGACGTGTCCCAGAACAGGCAGGGATTTGGGAAGGTTGGTTGGACCATCTCATCCCACCTGTCTAAATAAATCTGTGAACTATTTATTGCACAAGGTGTTCCTTGAGCTCTTCTGGAAGCTCAAGAAAAGGATGTTTTAATTGTGAAACAATATTTTACAGGTGGGCCTTCCAGCTTTTGGGGGGAGGGGGCTGAGGGAGAGGAAACCTTGGGAACAGAAGGAACCTTCATCCATCCTCCTGCACTGGACTCAGTGGGACAACTCCCTGTGCAAGGAACAAGAGGGGGGAACCTTCCCAAAATTTCAGCTTCCAAGTTTCAACCTCAGATCCCTCGTATTTAAATTTTGGAGCTGCTCATTGTGCTGCTGGCTGGGGCTCCCCAGCCCTCACCAAACAGCATTTCAGTGTCTATTTTTCCAACAGCTCTGCCCTCACCCACCCCCAGCTTTGCCTGGTGCTCCTGGTGCCCAAACTCCGCCAGGAAAAGCAGCTTTTCCAGCCCCACCCCCCGAAACCAAGAGGCTCAAGGAGGCAGGTGAAGGGCAGGTAATCTGATTGACTTTGCTCCTCCGAACAGAACCAGCAGCACTGTGTTTGTCAGAGATATATCACATTTTTAGAGCTGCCTTGTCAGCCTTCAGGAGGAATCTGTGCCGGCAAATATGAAACACTCTTTAAAAAATGAAAAAAAAAAAAAAGGTAGTTTGAAGAGAGACCTGACTGAACCAACCTGTATATACATAAATATATATATAAATATATATATATAATCAGTATATAATCCATATATATATTATATATAATCTGTATATATAAATATATATATGAATATATATAATCTGTATATATGAATATATATAATCTGTATATATACAAATATATATCTATATAATCTGCATATATAAATATATATCTATATAATCTGTATATATAAAAATATATATATTTAAATATATAGATATATACCTATATCATAGAATAATTTGGGTTGGAAAGGACCTTAAAACTCATCCAGATTCACCCCCTGCCATGGGCAAGGACACCTTCCACCAGCCCAGGTTGCTCCAAGCCCTGTCCATCCTGGCCTTGGACACTTCCAGGGATCCAGGGGCAGCCACAGCTTCTCTGGGCAACCTGTGCCAGGGCCTCCCCACCCTCCCAGGGAAGGTTTCCTTCTCAAAATCCAATCTGCTCTGGCAGTTTGAAGCCATTCCCCCTTGTCCTGTCACTCCAAACTCCTGGAAATGGTCTCTCTCAAGCTCCTTGTTGGCTCCCTTCATGTACTGAAAGGCCACAATTAGGTCACCCCAAAACCTCCTCTTCTCCAGGCTGAGAATATATAATACGTATAAAATTATAAAATAATAAATAAAATATAAATATATATAAAAATCTATATAAAATCCATCAGCCTGCAGAGCTGGAAGCCTCCTCAGCCACTGGAAGGCCTCAAGACCATACAGATTGTTAAAACACAGCAAGTTTGATCCAGAGGTATGTGACATGCAATTAATCTCCATTCATAGCCTGCTCCACCTGTCAGCAAACAAAGGCTGAGCTTTAGGAGGAGATCTGAAGCCTTCAATTAAAAGCAGTCAGCTAACAAGAAAATAATCTAAGTTAAAGGAAGGTGGCAGGTGCAGAAATGAGTTGTTTACAGAAGTGTCAGCCCCAAACAATAAAGGGCTGCACGTCAAAAAATGTGAAAGGGTGAACTTCAGCAGAGCCCCTGGGATTAAAAACCAGAGGAGAAAAAACCTCCACCTCCATCTGGGGGAAGATACAAAGTGTTTGGGAGCGAGATCCGATGGGTTTGGGGGCTCCACAGGGAGGGACAGACACCAACTGGAAGTTATCAGGGAATCACAGAATCAGCTGGGTTGGAAGGAACCTCTGAGATCATCAAGTCCAACCCTTGATCCAACCCCGCTGTGGTTCCCAGCCCATGGCACTGATGCCACATCCAGTCCCATCTTAAAAACCTCCAGGGATGGAGAATCCACCACTTCCCTGGGCAGCCCATTCCAAGGGCTGAGCACCCTCTCTGGACAGAAATTCTTTCTGATATCCAACCTAAACCTCCTCTGGCACAACTTGAGACCGGGGTTGAAGCTCTCCAGAAGACACATCCCCACGAGCTGCACGTTCCCAGAGGGACTCAACACCAGCACATCTCAAACCAGAAGCCAGCAGTGCCCCAGCCCCAGGGGAAGCTGCAGAGGGGGCTCAGTGCAGCCCACGAGCTGCTCCTACCCTTTGTCTCGCCCTAACGATGCTCAGAGGTGGAGCCTCCTCACCTTTCCAGGAAGCTCTCGCTGAAGATATATTTTGGCCACGCCAGAAGAAACCTTTAAATCTTCCACACACTCAGACTCTGGGACCACCAGAAAACTCCCCCACCCCTAACACACACATGGATCCTCGTGGCAGCTCCTGAAAAACAGGAGCACAGCCCCCAACCCGCCAGGGCAGGGCAGCCACGTGTCCTAAACGCTCGTCAGGGGCAGAGGAGGCGAGGCCACACACAACCTGAGGACCCCAAACCATCAGCCTTGCAGAAGAAACCCCCCCCAGTCCTTCCACTGCTCCCCCCGACCCAGCACAGAGAGGTGCAAAAAGCTTTTCGGCTCCTTCCCCCGCAGCCCCGGGGGGTTCCCCCCACCGAGCAGATGAGGGGCCAGGAGGGATTTGCCGTTACCTTCCAGGAGCCTCTGGATCTCCTCTGGGATCATGACACCTCCCAGCTTCCTTCCCACGGGAGCCAAACGCACCGCGACCGCTCCTGTCCCGGGGGGGGAGGGCAGGGACAGAGCGACAAAGGAAGCACAGAGGGCGGGGACACCCCAAAAAAGAGTAGGAGGAACCGCTGGGCTCTGCTCGGCTACCACCTCCTCCTCTTATAACCTCTGCGGGACCTCCTTTCAGGCAGCCGGGTCGCCCAGGTGGTCGCCCAGGTGATGTCCCGAAAATCAGAGGAGCTGCCGAGGCCCCCGATCCCCGCCCAGCAACGGCCCAGCTGAACCTGCCCCCTCATCAGCCTCTCCATGGGGTGGCATCTCCCTCCAGGAGCTCAGCTCAGAACCACCTGGCCCTGGATTAAATCACCTGGCCCTGGATTGACCCTCCCGTGCCTGTTCCTGCCGCGGCAGGAGCCGGGGCTTGGATTCGTTCCAGGCTCCCTCCTCTAAAATGCACGGGGGAAGAACGTGGTGCTGCTCTGCAATAAAGCTTCCCCTCTTCCTGCCTCCTGCACAGGAAGGGGGCTGGACTGGGAGAGCTGTTCAGGTTTCTGGCCCGGAGAAAGAACAGGGCTGTGCACTGGGATGTGTTTTATGGCAGCAATAAATGCAAACTGAGCTCCACAAACCAGCAATGCCACTGCAGCAGGTTAACCCCCAGCCCTGCCTCTGCTCCTCTCCCACAGCAGTCAATCAGCACGACCTCACAGAGGGGGTACCAATGTTATTTTTTTTATTTTTCATTCTCGCTTTCCCAAATTTCAGGCTCAGTGTTGCCAAATCCAAAGGCTGGCTGAAGCTCAGCACTGATTTCCTGCCCCAGTTTAACATTTCCCACAGGTGAAGTGCTCAGGATTCCGTCCTTCCTTTGCAATATCCTGGCATCAAACAAATATTTATTATTATTATTGCTCTCCTCCCGCCACAGCAACGATCACAAGCTGGGAAAACAAAATCCAGAGGGTAAAGGAAAATTAAAGTGTGCACTGGGATCTGCCCCCTTGGCTTCAGTGGGATAATGCCATGCTCGGAGGAGGAGCACAATTCCAAACAGTTGGAGGATGGGATTCTTGCAGCTCTCTGGATGCAGCACCTGGATGCAGCAGGTCTGGGATAAAGGAAACATGGGAGAGATTCCAAGGGACAGATTCCAGATTTGCCCAGAGCTGCTTGCTCGGTTCAGTCAAAGCAATCTGGTGGTTCTGGCTCATCTCACACCTGGGAGAGAAGAGCTGTGCTGGCAAAGCCTCGGGTGTGGAGGAGATGGGAGTGCACGAGAGGAATGGAGCTGGGCTTTGATCATCCTTGTGAGTCCCTTCCAACTCGGGATGTTCCATGATTTTAGGAGAGAGATGCTCCTCCACGTGCTGTCAGGGGCTGACGTGCTCTGTGACCCAGTTCCTGAGACAGGTGGGTGAAACAAGGCAAAGACTGTTGTGCTTTTAGTTACCAGTACAAATCAGATTAAAAACAGGTACAAGCTGAAGCCCAGGCCTTTGTGGGTTTGGCTTTGGGGCTGTGCCAGCAACTCTGGTGTTCTGGAGCAGAAGCAGAAACCCCCCGGAGCAGCTGCCAAGTTCTTTTGGGACTTTTTTGGTTGAAATGTGCCTTTTTATGCACGGGCACAGCACCTCACTGAGTGCCATACAAATAACACTTGTCAAGAGGGATGATTTTAATGGAGAAGTGAAGGCACCGTGACTGTGAGCAGCTGATTTACAGGAAGGCTCTGCTCTGTTTTCTGTGTGTTCTCATGTCTCCAGTCCCTCTGTGAGAACACTGCAGTGGCAGCTGCCACTTGGGGTTCAGTCAGGGAGAAGAGGAGACACTGTGTTCCTTCTCCTGCTTCAGGAGGCTTAGTTGCTCTCCAGATCCAGGAGAAGAAAGCCCAGCACTCCTGATCTGAAGCTCATCGCTGATTTCCTGCCCCAGTTTGAGATTTCCCACAGGTGAAGTGCACAGGGTTCCATCCTTCCTTTGCAATATCCTGGTATCAAAACAAATGTATATTATTATTGCTCTCCTCCTGCCACAGCAACGATCACGAGCTGGGAAAACAAAATCCAGAGGGTAAAGGAAAATAAAAGTGTGCACTGGGATCTGCAGATCTGGAGGCAGAGCACACGTCTGACGTCACCCACCCAAACTTCCAGGTTTCCTACTCCAAGTAAATCCAGTTTCTGGCCTTCCCCCTTCACTCCCCCACACTGACAACACCTCTGCAGTTTAACCTGGATTTTAGGACTAGAAATTGTGCACCTACCCTGACATCACCTCTGGAGCATAATCTGGATTTTAGGGCAAGAAATTGTGCATCTCCCCTGACATCCTGCAGCGGATGCAGAGCCCTCAAAGCACAGGAAATGCTGCTGCACTTCAGGGGGGGGCCTTGCATGGGAAATGGCCTTGCTAGAAAGTACAAATACCTCAGTGCCTGCCCCCTTATATCTCCTGGTCAGGTTGGGTTTCATGAGTCAGGATTTAGAAAATGAGGAGGAAAAACGTGGGGCTGTGTCAGCTGCCTGAGGCTCTGGACACGTCTGAGTGGCTCTGGCTGTGTGCAGGAAGCAGTGGCGTGTGTGGGTGGATGTTTATGATGGATCTGTGCTCGTGTTCTCACCTTGAGCTGTTTAGGGATAAATATTTAAACACGACTGTGTACAAACCCCAGTCAGTTCATTACACACTGCAAATAAAAGCAGCTGCTCGCTGAGACTGACTAAGTCTAAAAACGAGTTTATAAAGGAATGAACTGGGTCCCTTAGATGGCAGAAACTGCCTTCAGATATGCCAGGGAGATCGATAAAAGCGGATCAATGCAAATCTCGGAGGAAGGAACGTTCCTGAGGCTGCAGAGGAACGACTCGTCTGCCCCACCCCCTGCAGCTCCCACACCAACCCGGGAGCACAGCCCTGGAAAAAAGGCACCAAAAAATACCTGGTCAGTGAGACTTGCCCAAGAGTTAAACTGCTTTAGCGTATTTGGGGTCTGGGGGGGATTTTTCCCCGTGTCAGGGCAGCAGTGAGCGGGTTTGGAGGGGTGGCTTTGCCTTCCTTTGCTGCTTGTGAGAGCAGAGCTCAGAGAAGTGGGGACTTCACAAGAGAAACTTCCTGCTGTCGCAGTGTGTGGCATCACTGAAGCTCCAGATCTTTCCTGCTCGACCCCTGGGATGTGTTGTAGCCTGATTTTGGGGCTTTCACTGCAGAAAGCATTGGGAGCAGCATCCCAAGGGGAGGCTGGCACTGCTGCACCCTGGGCCACGCATCCATCCCACGGCCCTGGCAGCCAAAAACGGGGCCCAGCACCTGCAATCCTGCCCTCAAGCCCTACAGGGAGAGGTTTTAAGGCCAGGCTGACCACTCAGCAGCTGTTGTCATTATTAAATCCGTTTTACTGAGGGATGCTGAGACATGGGAGCCTCACCTGCCACAGAGACAATGGTGCTGTTCCCCAAAATCTTTGCACCAGGCCAAACCTCCCCCTCAACCTTCTGCACTGCAGATAAAAGCAGGCAAACTGATTCCCAGACAAGCGACCTTTTTTTTTTTTCCCTTTCCTTTTTTCTCACCACTGTCGTTTTTGAAGGTGTGAACAGGTCACAAATTTAGATTTGTGGTCAGCTGGGAAGGGGGTGGGAGAGTCTGGCAGTGACTGGCACCTTCCACAAACCACATGGTTGTTATGTAGCATCAACCTTTCTGGGCTCTGGATGCAAAGCTGCCTCCCCACACGATAAAAGCCCCACCTTAATCATTTCAGGTCCCAAGTTCAGCAGACAGGCTCTCTCCTAATGATATTCTGTTAAATGGACAAATTTCTTTGAAGGCTTGTCTCGCTTAGAAATCCAATTTCCCAGGCAGGCAGAGGCGATTGGGTGTAGCTATGGAAACAAAGCCGGGCAGCCTGAGAGGAGCGGAGCGCTGCGAGGTGAGGATGTGAGAGGCAGAGCCCTTTGCTGCGCTGTCGGAAATATCAAAGGATCTGGAGAGGTTGGCAGGAGACGTGTCCCTGTTACGGGCTGTTCTGTGTGGCTGGGTACCGGCGCCTGTCAGGGAAGGTAAAGCAGCCGGCGGGGCTGTCACAGCCTGCAGTGGAGCTGGATGCACAAATGGAGGGGGGAAAAGAACCTCCAGTTCTCATCTGCCCCCTCCCACAGCCGGATCTCAGCCTGGAGTGGAGCTGGATGCACAGATCCCGGGAGTTCAGACTCCCCCAGTTCCCTTCCCAGTTCCTCCAGCACATCAGGATCTCAGTCTGGAGTGGAGCCCCCAGTTCCCATCTGCACCCTTCCTCGTCAGGATCTCAGCCTGGAGTGGAGCTGAATCCACAAATCCAGGGGGTGCAGACTCCCCAGTTCCCCTCTGCCCCCTCCCAGTTCCCCTCTGCCCCCTCCCAGCTCCCCCAGCACATCCTCAGCCCGGAGTGGAGCTGGATGCACAAATTCAGGGGGTTCAGAACCTCCAGTTCCCTTCTGCCCCCTCCCAGTTCCCTTCTGCCCCCTCCCAGTTCCCTTCTGCGCCCTCCCACATCCAGATCTCAGCCTGGAGTGGAGCTGAATGCACAGATTCAGGGGGTGCAGAACCTGCAGTTCCCTTCTCCCCCTCCCAGTTCCCATCTGCCCCCTCCTAGTTCCTCCAGCACATCAGGATCTCAGTCTGGAGTGGAGCTGGATCCACAAATCCAGGGGGTACAGACCCCCCCCCATTTCCCCTCTGCCCCCTCCCACACCCAGATCTCAGTCTGGAGTGGAGCTGGATCCACAGATCCAGGGGGTACAGACCCCCCCAGTTCCCCTCTGCCCCCTCCCAGCTCCCCCAGCCCATCAGGCTCTCAGCCTTCCCCCCTCTGCCATCCAGAAAGGTTAACAACAAAAGGGTAACAAGGTTAAACCACAAAGCCCCGGCTGATAACAGCCCTTTCAAGCAGCTGCACCGAAATTAATCTGAAACTCGGAGTAATTAGATAAGATAAGGGCGTGTGTGTGCTCGGGTGGGCACATGCTGACCCCGGACACCCGTTCCACAAAGGAGGTGGAGGATCACGGGCTTCATTAAACT